CGACGGAAAATGAAAAGTTGCGATTTTCTAGGCCGATATGGCCAGGAACTATACTCTCATTCCGGCGTAATAATCAAGGAACGTTGCTGCCATACCATGGGTGCAGCAGGCGCAATGATATTACGCAGCGCCTGAAAATAGTCCCAGCTAGGTAACTTCCAATAAGCCTATTTTCAGGAGCTGCGTAATATCGCCAGACCCGGAGATCGGCTGAATGGATTCGAAAACGGTAAAACTCAACTGTTTAACTCCAGGGGAGTTGGAAAATGAGCCTATTTTCAAAAATAGTGGAGTGTTCCTTTAAAAACCTGTTGCACAATCTGCTTTCTGTCATCTGATTGATAGTTTGTAACTTTTTTAGCAAGTAAAAGAAGATACCTTTTAGTATGATTGTAAAACGTCCCCCTTCAGGTCGTGGTCCATGTGAATTTTTTCTGTGAAATCTTTACAGATTTTTATAAATTAAACATAAAAATAATGGTTGTACTTTAGTCCTTGTCCACATATACATACTATGTGTTTATTATATTGATTACAATAACTGGGTAATAACTATTTATTAATCCTGAACTTTGAGTTTAACTTTGGCTTCAAGATGACACTTACTGGACTGAAGCTACTTAGGTTTACTTGATTATCCAGACATTATTTTTATAAAAATCATGATAAATCATGTTGTTTTGCATCGCATTATGTGTTTTGCCTATCTACTTTAAAAAAATATATATTTTTTAAAAAGCAATGTAATTCAATTTATTTAATTACATTTTTTACTTAATAAAATGTTATTAAAATGTTGTTTTATTTATTTAAAACCAAATAAAACAATTAAATTTTGAATTAAATTAATAATTTAATTTAAAAACTAAACTAATAATTATGAATGAAATTAAACTTATAAACTATATAAAATAAGTTAAATTACATTTTAAATGTAATCATTTAATAATTTAATTTAATTGAAAGACTAATAATTATGAATTAAATTAAATTATTAAAATAAAATCATAACTAAGCCCTTAAATATCATTTTACTAAGACATCATTTGGAGATATTGAGTGACAACTGATATTTATATCCATTTTATGTTATGAAGATCTCATTGATTTTTATATACAAACTATCAGAATTTTATCTTACTTTTTGGCCATGTAAATATCAGTAACTGCACAAAATTTCATGTTTTTGCTCAGTTTGGTACTCTGAATAAAATTGAGTTGCTTTTTCTCTTACTGCGAGCCATTAAAAGCCTGATGTATCAAATATGACTTTTGACAAACACAAACTTTTGTCTTTACTTTTTTTTAAGATTATGTCTAAAGGCTTGATTAAACTATTCCATCATTTTTCTGACTAATATTTCATTTGTCAGTTTTTAACAGTGTTTATGAATGCAGTCACGTTTACTTTTGCATGACAAAATTCTGTGACGTGAAAAATAGTCTTCTCAATGGACTTCTGGTTGCAAAGAAGTTTCCCATTGACTTCTAGCTTATTGAATTTTGGCACAAGAGTTTGTCATGTTGATCAATAGGAAGCAGCTTGTTTTGGCAGCGTTCTCTTTGTGGGCAGTGCTATATACATCGCCACTACGGTTAGCGATTTGTTCAAACTTTGTTCAAAAAGGACTTTAGCAAACACCGCAAGTAATGGAGCAAACAAAGATTGCAGTTACTGAGGCAGAGTTTTGGATGTAAAACGCTCTACCCGAACAAACGGATTACCCAAACACACTTGTATCTAAGCTGTGCCGCCCCCTCTTGATTGGGTTTTGTGAGGACAGCTGGCATCCGAAGAGAGAATGAATTGCTGGAATCGTGTTTTCCTAATCCAGCCCTACATTTATTCATTGAATGTGTGTTTTTCCCGCTCCAGTCCATCTAGACCCGTCATAGCAGTGCTTTGGACTCTGTTCTTTCTCTTTCAGCTTTGTCCCACATGCCCTGACATTTTCATGACACTCTGGATGTCACTGTGGTCCTCATGCTTCGGTTTTGGCCTCTGCTTGTACTTTGTTGCTTCGACATTTCCAGTGCCGCTTTATGAGAGTAACCGTTGTTGAAGCTCCCAGCGTGCTTTGATTAGATATGCTCTTCTCGTCCACCGACGGATGGGCGGAGAGCTGACTTACAGGCTTATGAGTTCTCCGAGTTCAGCCTCCAACAACACGAGGCCAAAATAATTGGCGAAAGTGGATTATTTTAGGTCAGAATCCAGTCAGACTCATCCCTGCTGAGAGGCTTGTGTGCTGGGAACTGGATGATCATGAAAAAGGACTTCTTCGAGGGGGTCTTACAGTCTTAGAACTGGTTTTACTTTAGGACCCAGATTTCACTCCGGATGTGTGGTCACCCAACACAGTACCGAAACTGCAGATCTTACCAAATTAAATTTTGACGGTTTCATGCTCTCGGCAGCCAATAATTCATTGCACAAAACCCATTGCGGTCAGGAAAAACCATGTGTAAGGTACGTCTCTTAGCTTGTGTGGTTTTGTCAATTGTTCAGTTTCCACAAAAATATGAAGCAGCACAACTGTTTTTAAAAATGATAATAAATGAGAAATGTTTCTTTAGCAGCAATCATCATATTAGAATGATTTCTGAAGGATCATGTGACACTGAAGACTGGAGTAATGATGCTGAAAATTCAGTTTTGATTCATAGGAATAAATTACATTTTAAAGTATATTGTAAACAGTTATTTTAAATTGTAATAATATTTCACGATATTTCTGTTTTTACTGTATTTTTGATCATATAAATGCAGCTTTGGTGAACATAAGAGACTTATTTCAAAATCATTGTAACCAACCCCAAATTTTGAATGGTGTAATTATTGAATTGTTTGTTTGTTTATTTGGCTATTTTCATTTATTTGTTTGTCTGAACTTGATGATCTGACATTGATTTAACCCTTCATCCCTACTAATACATTCCTTTGAATAATTCATGCATACTTGTATATGTCCAATGTTTCAGTGTTCTATGAAATATATTGTTGAAAGGAAGAACTTGATAAAGACTGGCAGTCAAAATGATCAAAATTGAATATGTAAATTAAAAAAAAAAAAAAATCTAAAAAATTAGTCTATTTTGAGAATACTGCCTTTCAGACCTCAAAATGTTCTCCTAAAAGTCTTTTGGACTCCTTTCAACCAATATAAGCTGTAGTACTTTTTTTATTTTTAATGTGTCTTTCTTTCTGGATTCTAGACTTTGATTGGAACTACTTCTGGTCTTGGAGTCATTTTGTGGATTACCTACAGTGTGTGCTGGTGTTCACAGTGCTGGCCGTCTATGTGACGTATCTGCTACTGGACTCAGTTCTGTTTGTAGAGAGCCTGGGTTTTCTGGCCGTATTCACAGAGGCCATGCTGGGAACTCCACAGCTCTACTGCAACTACCAGAACAAATCTACTGAAGGCATGAGGTTTGTACTGCTAATGTTTTTGCTCTAAAAAGAAGGGTTCATCAAACGTTCTTCAATGGTGTTAATATTTTAACCTAGAAGTTTATTTCCCTGAAGACTACTTTTTGAAGACAACTCGTCATCAAGGCTTTCACCGCCAATTTTGAGCAACTGCAGCGCCTGACCTAGGCGAGTGGTCTCGTTTTGCTGTCGCTGTACTTTAATGGCACATGTGATCGCAAGGCGGCTGCAGCACCAATCAAAGTCAGACAAATTTTCTAACCAGAATGCATTGCTTTTGTCAGGTAGCAGCCGATCTTTGTGGCACTGCATGAAGTCGAACAAGCCTATTGGTTGAACAAACTGAAAGTTTGCACCAAACGTACCCCATTGGTTGGACAAATTGATTGGGTCACTCCAAACTCACGCCATTGGTTGGACAAAGTTATCGGGTTGCCCCAAACTTACACCATTAGTTGGAAAAACTGATAGGGTTGCCCCAAATTAAACCATTGCTTGGGCAAAGTGATTGGGTCGCCACAAAATCAAAGTCATGCCATTGATTTAACAAAGTGATTGGGTCGTCTCAAACTCAATCCATAGGTTAGACAAAGGGTCGCCCCAAACTCAATCCATTGGTTAGACAAAGTGATTGGGTCGCCCCAAACTCAATCCATTGGTTAGACAAAGTGATTGGGTCGCCCCAAACTCAATCCATTGGTTAGACAAAGTGATTGGGTCGCCCCAAACTCAATCCATTGGTTAGACAAAGTGATTGGGTCGCCCCAAACTCAGTCCATTGGTTAGACAATTGGGTTGCCCCAATTGGGGCAAAGAGATTGTGTTTGACAAACTGATAAACTTGTTATTTTAAATTTAAGGCTCAGAGAGGGTGGAAAAGAACAAAAATAAATTGTGACTAAAACCTTCATTAACTTTATTAATGAAACTTAGTGGGAAAAATAAGTTATTTAAATTAATTATGATATGACCACCTTGACATTTTTGCTCTCACTCAATCTCTCTCTGGTGAGTGAGTCCAGAAATCTCCACTGCTCTAGTGCTTGAACAGAGGAACATGGGAAGTGATATGTGGCAGCACAGTCACTCCTTGATGACTGCTAGTCAGACTTCCTGCTCAGCTGGTTAAGCTACGGGAATCAAATATAGATACCTTAAAAAAAAAAAAAAAAAAAAAACCTAAAAAAAAAAAGTTAATTTAACTGAGAAGGAATAAAATTATATACATGAATATTCCTTGTATGTTTGATGAATATGCTTACATTTTTCTCACAGATAGCCACAAGAGGGCAGCACACAACTGTAAAATCATTTTGCATGGAATAAGAATAACAATATCTGTCTAGGATAATATTATGTTAGCTGGTGTAGTGGACTTTTTATTTATTAATGTTTTATTTTGCTGTACATATGATTGTATGACCATACATTAACCAAAGCACAAATTAAGTTATAAAGCACGTTCCAAAGCCAGTAACTGAATTCAAAATGGCAAATCAGACAAAAATAGTAATCAGGTAATGTTTCGCAGAGGCTGTTAGATTGTATAAGATGCATTGTGTGTGAGAGAGGCGTATTATGTTGCATAACCTTTTGAGAGCTACAGTGTGTGTGCTGTAAAGACACGTCCTGTCAGTGTGACTTAGTGTGTTTGGTAGCGTCTCGCACTGTGAGATGCCACCCTGTGCTCTGTTTTGCAGTATTTGAGTGTGTGTGTGTGTGTGTGTGTGTGTGTCTCTCCATTCACCCGGACTGATTTGATGGCACAGGCGGGAAGCCACCACTGGCATCATGCCAGCCTGACAAGATAAGGGTTGCTGCCTCCTGTGTGTGTGTGTGTGTGTGTGTGTGTGTGTGCGCGAGTGTGCGTGTGTGTGTGTGTGTGTTTTGCTGCTGATAGAGCGTATACTGATGTATTTTTAAATTGATGTTTGCTGTGTTGTGTGTGTGTGTGTTTAGTTATGGGGTCTTTTAAGAAAAGGGAATATAGCGGTATAAATGCATACGTACATACATATATGTGTGTTTGTGTATATATAAGAAATATATATATATATTTCTTTTCAAAAGTGTCACCAAGGCTGCATTTTGATTAAAAAAATACAGTAAAAACAGTAATATTGTGAAATATTATTAGAATTTAATATAATGGTTTTCTAATTGAATATGTTTTTAAAATGTAATTTATTCCTGTGATCAAAGCTGAATTTTCAGCATCATTACTCCAGTCTTCAGTGTCACATTATCCTTCTGAAATCAATCTAATATGCTGATTTGCTGCTCCAGAAACATCCAGTTGAAACTTGTTCATATTTTTTAAAGAAACCGTGATACTTTTTTTTAGGATTCCTTGATGAAGAGAATGTTCAAAGGAACAGCATTTATTAACATTTTAAATGTCTTTACTGTCACCTTTGATCACTTTAATGCAGTCTTGGTGAATAAAGTCAATCGTTACATCCTGCATTAAGTTAGTTTCATGTCTCTTGTATCACTGCGCACTGCGTCTTCTCACATAATAAAGTAATTTCAAACATCATAAAACTAGACCTAATAAAATAATAAAACAATTTCAGCTCATGTACAATAAAACCGTTTCAAGGCTCCCTGATGTAGTTTATTGGAATCTGTTGTATTATCTTGTCAGTGTTTATTTTGTGATAATGATCGTCTGGCTGCACATCCTTCTGCTTTTTACCTGACTGCTTAACAGATAAATGCATACATGCGCAAGCGTGCTGCTGTTTCATACCTGCAACAAAATGTGCATAATCAAATGAATAAACAATTATAAAGTGATTCAAAACATCCTCAGTGACACAATCTTTGTAATGGAATACACTTGTTTGATCATACAGTTCACAGTTTGAACATTATTGTTTTTTTCTTTTTTTACTTTTTTTGTTATTTTAAAGATCTGATCTAAATTATCCATCGTCTCTTTCATTATTGCTATTAAAGTCACACAAAAATTATATTTGAACTTAAAACATTTTAATATTGTACAAAACAGTCAGAACTCGAGTTGTCAAATCAAGTCAAGTCACCTTTATTTATATAGCACTTTTAACAATACAGACTTCTACAGCAGTTGTCAACTGCATCATCAAAGAAATAGAAATCATTCCAAAAATAGAATTTCCCGTTACTTGTCACATATCGCTGGTTAGGAATTCTAGATATTAGAATTACTCTAAAAAAAACTATATTCAAAGGTGCTGTATGTAATTTTTTTCACTGTACTAAAGTCTAAAAATACCATAATATGTTTGCAGATATTTAGGAAACAATCGCAGTTCACATACATGTTTCTCAGAAAAACAATGTGTAAGGGAAAGGGTCAATTTCACTCAAAGGGTATCATTTATGATTTTATAGGGGATTTGGAGAGAATCACTGTTTTACGGCTGATCACTGAGTCAGCCAGCGATTCATTGAATGAGCCGTATAACATCAACTCTGCAATGGATATTAATATCCAAAGTATAGTGAAAACACTATTTATTAGCACAGTAGCAAGATAGGCAGTTTAAGACATTAACTTGTAAGCACAAAACACAAGATACTTTTCTTTTCAATATAAATAAGGCTTTGTTGGATAAATCTAAGACATATAAACTAATCTAACACATAAACATACGCACTCACACATTCACACAAGTTGCAGAAAGAGAGAAAGTGAGGAAAGAATGAGTTTGAGAGAGTGAAAATGTGAAATCCCAAGTTTATAGCAATATGTGCAATTGCTTAGACCTGAACAACCATCAATCATTTAATTAACCCTCGCACTGAGTTCCTCAATGGGGTTAAAATTTATATTAAATGCCCCAGTTCAGCTAGAATCTGGAGGTACTTGCATTGCTTGTTTAGGGGGTTCCCTTGTTGTCTTCGTTGCAGAAAGGGGTTTCCCAAGTTTGTTGATTGGCTGGAAGTCCAGTAGTAGTTCGAAGCGATGTCTTGAGAAGCCAATGGCTGCGCACATAGACTCGAGGTCGGACTCGGAGAGATGGCATTGTGGCAAAACTTAACTCAGAACATGAAACTCTCAACAGAAAAGAACTGAAGTAAAGAAGCAAAGAGAATAAGGTGACGAGACTAGATGGATGTTGTTGTTCGAAGTGACGTCTTGGGAAGCCAATGGTTGGCCGTTGTCTGAAGATGCAGAGTTGTGGGCTGGTTGAAGTTTTGAGACGGTCACAGACTCGAGGTGAACTCGGAAACATGGCGTTGCGGCAAAACTTAAAGGGTTAGTTCACCAAAAATGAAAATTAGGCTGCGTTTTACTCACCCCCGAGGCATCCTAGGTGTATATGACTTCTTTCAGACGAATTTTGATCTCTCCGCTGCGTTTACGCGTGCGTCACTTCTGAGCGGCGCATGTGCAAAGCCGCCCTCATACGTCAATTCCCCCGGAACTGCTTCTGTTTACAACAGTGAGCGCAAGCTACATTAAAGTATTATTACGTTTTGAATATGGATATTTTTCTTACAAAAACGCATCGATTCGCTACAGAAGACCTTTGTTCACCCCCCAGAGCCGTGTGAGACACTTTTTTTTATGGATGGGCGATTTTTAATTAAGTTCTTTTGGACTGAAGCAATGCAACACCCGCTGAGTGGCATTAAACAGCTTGAAAGATCAAAGACAATTTTTAATATAACTCCGACTGGATTCGTCTGAAAGAAGAAAGTCATATGCACCTAGGATGCCTCGGGGGTGAGTAAAATGCAGCCTAATTTTCATTTTTGGGTGAATTAACCTTTTAACTCAGAACACGAAACTCTCAACGGAAAATAAAGAAACTAAAGTAAAAGAAAGAAAAGAGTAAAGTTTGACCAGACTAGATGGCGTTTCTCCTCATGGTTTTAGAGGACCATGCAAGCCAGAGCATGCTGAAACGGCGCTCGAAGAATTCACGGGCAAAAAGCAGTGGCAAAAGGCATGGCTAAAAGCATAAAGCAAAAAGCAATGACTAAAAGCATAATTTGATGGGGTCCTG